TATAAATATATATATATATATATATTAGAGAGAGAGTATTTGCATATATATATGCCAAATCAGTTTGCTTGCTGGGATGAAATTTGAAAGTATTTCGAATAATCACTTTTATCCTCCTCACAGTTTCTTCCAGTAATTAAAAATCAAATATGTTTTGATTTTTACAATCTTTTCTTTCTTAATAACAAGGATATTCTAAAAACATGTTTTTTTTCAAGGCTTAAACATTCATCAGCTTTTCCCAGTACACTTGTATTTCTCACAGCATTCTAAAAGTATGGGTTAAAAGCAGTAACTAGAGAACACTCTGTCTCTCTTACCTTCTCCTTCTGATGTTAATCCGTAGATTAACATCAGTAAGAGATGGAAAAATAAGGTTGGATGAAATCTTCTCCAAAAACATCCGAAACATTCGATCAGCAACTCTTGCCTTCCAATTTACGTCAGTTTTGCTTTTGTTTTTATTTTTTCGGACCACACTGTTTGTTGTCATTTTCTCGGTCGTATGAAGTCACACCGATACCACTTCAAGAAGTTATAAGTCTATCAATTGTTTTTTGTTCCAGCCATACAGCCTAACCTTTCAGGAGTTTAATTCTTTTTATGATATAGAATATCATATTTGATATATCCGATAGATGGATAAAATGATAGATTCTGTAGAAATTATTCTCTATTGGACACTCTATTAAACGAGCTGAGACGATGGAACGCATTTCATTCATTTTTTTTCACCTTAAATGCATAAAATTTTCAACAATAATTAACTTAAATAAAACTGAGTAAATAGAGTTTTCAGTAAAAATTTTGTTGGCTTGGGGAAAATTGAAATCGGTTCTTTATGCTTCTTTCAAGAGAGAATTTGTAGCTAATAGCGTGAACAACACCTGATTCTAATTGAAAAATTATTATCACTTTTTTATTGATCTTTCTCAACTTAATCAAACTGTATAGACTAACCGTCACGAGAAAAACCAACGCCTTCTATAACTGAAAGCCTCCTCACGGTTTTTCATAGGTAGTACTATTTTGCCTTATTCACTTGTCAACCACCACACATTCAATTCTCAAATATATAAGATAAATTTTTCTCAATTACTTTTATAAAAGGTTTTGAGTTCATTCGTACAACTGGTTTACTTTTTAATCAGTCTGCGCAGACTACTTATAAAAGACCGTGTGGAGGCTTCTTGATGTAGGAGGTGATGGAAAAACTCCCTAACACGGAAATGAGACAAAATTGTAAATAAAAACTAATTCATGTGTGGTTTATTTCCGGAAGGACAACATTACAGATATCAACTTGTTTCGCTTTGTAGAAAAAGATTTTCGTGTGGTTAAGAAAATTAAGTTATTTTTAGTTAAGCATTTTTCATTTTAAGTAATTTTTCCACCACTGTAAATAAAAAGTACAAAGTATCATACAAAATCCAACTCAATTACATTATATCATTTATTTTTCTCTTTTAAGAAGTAAGCTTAACTATTTTTTCTCTACCAGTTTTACTAAATAATTTGCCACCAATTTACTAATAATTTTGCAAAAAGCGCACCAGTTGGCATTCCATGTATAATTTTTGGGCTTTTTATGACTTATTCCTCACCACAGTAGTTACATACGGTTGCTAAGTTCCGTAAAACGTTTGAAAAATTAGCAATCCATGTTCAAAGTTCTTATCTATGAGAAAAAATTTCAGTTTAAAATGTACGAAAAGAAATCGGAAATAAATGATTTTACAATGCTCTAAGGAGAAAAAAAACAAATACTTATCAAAAAAGAACTGATAACTTTTTAGGATTTTTGGAAGAATTTCCTTTAGTGGTAGCTAAATTTAAGTTTTAATGTATGATTTGTCGTTTTATAAAAGTGATTTACAGCTATTTCCCACACCACTTCATTAAAATAATTCAAAACATTCTTTGAAATGCACAAAAACTTTATAGTAATGGCGCTTTTAAAATATTGGCAGAACTACCGAAAATTCTGAAAGCTTTAATTTTTATCTGTCTACCAAATTATAAAATATTTTTCAAAAGGCATAGCGGTTAAGTCCCCGTAATAGGATATATCCGTCAATCACATCTGACAGTGTTGTAAAATGAGATGAACAAACAACACCTGCAAACTTCAACTGTTTTTTCCCTCCTGTTTTCTATCGTTTTTTTTATTTATTTGTTTATTTATTTTTCATTTAGAATATTGAGTAACTTAAATGTCATCTCGCATTTTGCTTAAGGTAGGAAAACTCCTGTAAATAAGAGCAATAATTATTATTTATTTATAAATAAATTTATAGAGGCAGGATCTTTTATAAAAAAATTATATTTGATTTTAAGTATTTGAAGAATATTAATTTTTACCAAATTTGCAAAACAATACCTATCTAAAAAATAATTAAATACTTTTTTTAGTATTTTATCAAAATTACAATGTCTAACGTATATAGTAAAATTTAAACACATAAATTTAAATGCATAAAGATTTGAAAGCGATAAAAAATATAAGAAATGGTGGTACAGTTTTAGAACAAATGAAGGAGTACAGTTAAATTTTGTATAAAGTTTTGAAATGTCACGTTATGTAAGACCATAATTATATAGATTTCATTAAAAATAATTTATCGAATTCAGCGTGGGTTTAACCATCACCTCCTACATCCAAAAGCCTCCACACGGTCTCTTATAAGTAGTCCGCGCAGACTATTTAAAAAGTGAACCAATTGTGCGCATGAACCCAAAACCTTTTATAAAAGTAATTGAGAGAAATTCATCATGCATATTTGAGAATTGAATCTGTAGTGGTTGACAAGTGAATAAGGCAAACCAATAATATTCATTAATAAAACAAATTTCTAGTCATATATTTGCTACCACTTTCTTATTTTAACTAGATTTTGTATTAAGTGACTCGTTCGGAAAGTGGATATCCTCCATAGTGGTCTGATCGGACTTCCTATAAAAAACCGTGTGGAGGCTTTCAGTTATAGCAGGCGTTGGTTTAACCCTTTCGCACCGACTTTCACAAATATGTGCCAGCACAAAACCGTATCAACAAGGGTAAAAAGATAAAACTGGTAATCAAAGTAATTCTTTAACAGTTTATTTGTTGGCGGAGTTATAATTTCTTGATTTATTTAATTCACCATCACTTTGTTCAAAATAAAACTATTTAGTTATACTTTGAATTAACATTGATTAATATATGATTAAACTAACAATAATTAAAGTAAAAGCAAAGTAAGTCTGTCAAATTAGAAACGACTACTTTTAAGTTACCGTTTTTTTTTTCATTACATCCTGATTCTGATTTTGTACGAATGCTTTTCTGAATCACCCGTTTCCATTTTTCTTCTCAAACCTGTTTAAAAAAATTTTAATTGGCATATTTTTTTGAAAAAAATTATGCACTTATCATAAAAGCTTTGGGAATGTATATAGTCGTTTTACTGGATATGTAATAGAAAGTTTTACTGAGAGGCATACGGGGTTTAAAAAAAATTTATGGAAACACTTTTATACTAACTCTATGTAAACAAATTTTCTTTTGGCAGCGATTTTTGGAAAATCAAACATAACAAAACGGGTAGCATAAATTAAACGAACATGTTTCAGCTTATAGAAATAACTAATGGGCTGCGCCTCCTGCTCGCTAACGCTCTCCAACCCCCGAATATTGCTACACAATTGCTACAAATTTATCCTAGCAATTTTAAAAGTAGTTTTCGTAAAGATTAAAAAACGCTCTTACTATAAATTATTCTATAACATCACTATTTGCTTCTTTTCGGGTAATAAAAATTAATCCTACTTTACCACGTTCACGCCGGGAAAAGAGAAAATACTGGTAGAAGATCTATTCTCAACAATAACAATTCACTGTAAGGGAATTAATAACGGTGAAGAAGCAATTGAATATAAAAATTGCATCCGTTAAAAACGATTGGTAGTCATGGAGTTTCATTATTCCCGGAAAAAAACTAAAAAATGAAATTTATTTTTACCAATTTTTACTCCGGTGCGTTGCCAAGATGAGACAATCTAGCGTTACCCACCGGTGGGTCAGCCCGGCGTGAACGTGTTAATTCGTTATAACATTATAGCGTCATATCACATTCATTGTAGCTTCACTTAAGCAAACTATAATGAAAGGATTTTCTTACAAGTTTTTGTTCATATTTTTTTCATCTTGATATATTAGCTTTCAGTCCAGAAAAAGGTTTCACGCTAATTCTTTGAAACATGTTTTTTTTATTAACGCGTTGCATGCTACCCTAATTAACATGGCTTGCTCGTCTGACAAAAATGTAAGTAACTACAAACTAAATTTGAAAATTTTAGACAGATTTTCTAGTTTTTTAAAATGTTTTGCTTGACGTAATTGTAGAAAATGGTGAAATATATAAGCCTACGAATTGATTAGAAATATTGGTGGATAAAAATCTACTCAATTGAATTTATTAAACCAAGAATCACAATTAACAAACTACCACTAGAAAATATTTATTTGCTGTCCGGAGCAAGTTGGCATCTCTGTGTACATAAATAAAACTATTTTTGTGTGTTCTATATGGCATTAACTTCTTCAAACCATTTTAGTAACTATAATAAGATAAAAAAAAATTAAAAATTTACTCGAATTATGTGTTTCTAATAATCTTGGCTTGGCCGGTCACCGATGATCCCCGTGGTGCTACGAACAAACTCAGTGCCAGTCATGGGCTACCCCCCATGGCATTCAACGTGTTAGTATGTTGTTCTATGACGTCTATTGTTTTATGACGTTTTTATTAATTTCTTGTTTTATGACGTGCTGTTATAGATGACGTCCAATTCCTTTCACTGCCTTTGCTTCGCTGGTTGGTACGGTACACTCTGCGATCGACAAGAAGATCCTTGTTTCAGTCAGCCTTGTCAAAATGGCGGAACTTGCATCCGCAGAGCTGGATCATATATCTGTAATTGTACGGAAGGATATCAAGGACCCACTTGTGCTGAAACTAGAGAAAGTATGTTTTTTTTCTTTAATTTAAATTTTATTTATTCAATCCTATTTATTTTACTCTGACCTTAAATATCAGCACAAACAAATAAATAAAGAGTTTTGACTCTAATTCCAATGCATATAAAGAGAGTGACGTATTTTTTTTTTCTTTCCAAAGCACGGTAAAATGGAAATAGTCCCTGCAAAATGTGAAAAGTTTAAATTTTAGTTACTTTCCCGAGTCTGTCATTTTCTTCTATTGTTTACTATTCACTCTATGGTGTTTTTATAATCATTGTATTTTATCTTTATGCAATTTGTTTTATTTTGATTCTATGAAATTATTAGATGTTATTGATTCTTTAAAAATGCCGTGTTTTAATAAATATAAAAGTTCATTTTGTGTAGCAAATTATAATTAATTTAAAATATTTCAATTGCAAATCATTTTCTTACATTTTCTTCAATGTTGAATAAAATAATTACTTATATGAATGAGCTGCACCATTAATCCTATTAAATTAATCAGTGAATTCTGGAAGGCTTTATTAACGCAATTTTCTTCTTCTTTTTTCTGTTTATGTAAGAATAAATTTTAAGATAGAATGAAGTGAACAGGAGTAAATAGAAATATGACCTTTCGATTGATTAGAAAATTTTCGTTTCGACATAAGTGATGAATAAAAAAACTTTCAAAGCACTAGCATAAATTTCCTCAATCCTATCTTTTTTTTCGAATTACTTTCATTAGAATGTGAAAGGAAAAAAAACTGTTTTCAATGTAAACACGTACACAGTCTCGCACGAAAAAGTTTATAAGTTGTTCATACAATAAATATTATCATTGTTCATGACATATTCGTAATACATATAGCAGAAATATAGCAGAAATAATGTGTAATCGGCGGCAGATAATCAAATATTCGAGTCTACAGTACTAACTGATTAAATTTTTAATTTTTTTTATATTATCGTTACTAAAATGGTTTGAAGAAATTAATGCAATATAGAACACACGAAAATAGTTTTATTTATCTACACAGAGATGCCAACTTGCACCGGACAGCGAATAAATATTTTCAAGTAGTAGTAGTTTATTAATTGTGATTCTTGGCTTAATACATTCAATTTAGTAGATTTTTATCCACCACTATTTCTAAACAATTCGTAGGTTTTTATAATTCATCACTTTTTTTCAGGAAATCATGCTAAACCTTTTCAAAACCTAGAAAAATCTGTCTAATATTTGAAAATTTAGTTTGTAGTTATTTACAGTGTTAATTTATGATTCTTAATTTAAAAATTCGATATATAGAGGTAGTAGTCACCACTATTTTTGAATAATTCGAAGGCTTACGTATTACGTCGTTTTGTTAATGTCAAGTCGAGTTGAGCCTCAGAAAAAATTGGCACATTGAACTGAAAATATGCAATTTCAGTTTGTTTTTTCCCTTTTTTTAAAATGTCTCGATTCCGGAGTAGTTGGCACCTCTGTAAAATTGGAAGTGAAGATATATTAAGTGTGGATGATATATACTATATTTGACTCTAACGAAGCAAATATTGGTATGAAGATAAAGGTAGCAAGCTGATGAGCACAACTGCGGCGAACCACTAAATATTATCCTGTGAAACCGAAATCGGCTAGGTGAAGAACTGCAGACAACTCATTTTTGAAAAATCACAAAATTCAATTTTTGAGGTTGTTTTTAATTTTTAGGTGGCAAATTGTTGTTAATTTGTAGTACTGTATTATCTAAGAGGAGAGCATAAGTTAATATAGCACCAATTGTTCCGAAAATAAAACTTCTACTAATAGGCATTATTTTCCAAGCTGTAAGATTTATATTTTCTTTCAATAAAGAAGAAATCTGATTCTTCCGATCACTTGAGATTAAGTTTTTGTAGTGTAGCTCACGAATAAAAGTGTGAATACTAATAGCTTCCTCTGATACTAACGAAGCAGATATTGTTGTGAAAATGAAGGTTGCAAACTGCTGAGCACAGCTGCTAAGTACCACAACATATTGTCCTCTAACTGAAAATTCTCTAGGATGAAGAACTGATAAGACAGCAAAATAAATAGCTGAAGCGTTTACAATAATCGAAGAAAACAATAAAAATGACAGTTCATTGTCGACACCTTCAACTATCAAAGCAATGCCAGAGTATTTTCTAGCAAGTTCCTCAGGTCTTAAAAACAATTCATTTGCCATGTTTTTTCTAACGTTTTGTAAAATTTGCTTTAATTGATGACATATTACGCAGTAATCGATGCCAAATGCGTTTACGGGGGCAAATAAACAAACAAAATAATTGAAGGTAAATACAAATCCCATCCAAAAATACGTGTCATCATGTAGTTCAATGTCCAACATTATCATCTTTTGAAACATTATCATGGTTGAAATGTCTAAATTGTATCTAAAAACAATTATAGTTATTAAAAAATTGCTGACAAACCATAGAATCACCAAAATCATTACGTTGAAACTAATATGACTGTTAATTTGTTGTAACTCTTTATGTATTTTTAATAGCTTTGAGCATTTAACTATCAATGCTATGCGAAACACAATCAATGCAATACACATTGCAATGGATCCTACATTTAAAGCTGACAGATTTACCATGAATGATATTGTACAACTAGTTCCATATATGACGGGGAAAATACTAATTACTGATAATAGAATCTTGTACATTTGGTTTCTAATTTTGTTCTTTTTCGTTACTGGTTTTGGAAATATAAAACATAAATAATAAAAGAAAGTAATTAATTTATACAAAGATTTTGCTAGCATAGTTCGTTTGGTCACGTAATTATTTATTTTAGACGTGTCGCTTTTCCGTTATTGTAAACTTATAGGCAAACAATTTTGCACTTTCCACAGTCAGTTCATAAACCATTTAAATTAAGCTATGGAAAAAGAACGATGGTAAATCTTTCTAACAGTTGAGTCAAGTTATATATAAAAAGAATATGAAAAAGAATTTTATGAAAAAGATATTTTCGAAATAAGGATTAATGAAATACTTGATTTTACCATTATTTATTTAGACTGTTTTGCGGATTTGATTAATTGCTATTAATGTAATTTATATAAACACTTCCAACTAAATTTTCCATGTTTTGTAACACTATGAAAAATACATTGATCTAATCTTTTAGCTTCTTCACTAATTCAAAAGAAACATTCAAAAGAAATTATTGCTGAAAATTAATTGTTTACCACCCTTGAACAGAGTTAATAAATTTGAGTAATTGAACAAACTGAAGATGGCCAATAAAGGGAAGTAAAATACAAATAACGTGCATTATAACTTACTCTTAATAGCAAACATATAAAAATTGATTTTTTAAACGATGAATTGATAAATTAAATTTTTTGCTATGAATTGCATTGTATTTTATAAATGCATCATCTGTTAAATCCTTTTTTTGTATTCTGAGAGATGGAGTTATAGATTAAAAAATATATTCAGTTAATCGGAATATGGATCAATTGAGTAGCTGAAAGTAATTGTATAATTTTCAAACTTTGTGGTGTAAAAATGAAGAAGATTCATTTTCCTTTTATCTAATTAGAAATTTACAAATGCAATATTTTTCCAAATAATAAACACTAACTATGATGTTCAATAATCCGGTTAAAAAAAACAATAAATAAGATCTGTTGATACCAGTTATATTAATTTTTATTTATCGTAATTGAAATAAAAGTGATCGAAATAAAATGATAAAATTATTTTAAAGGTAAAGAACATAGGGTTTTATTGTTTCATGGTATACTGTACCTGCCAACTCTTCCATATTTTCCGTAAGATTTTATTTTCATATTTAAAGTGGTAGCAATACTCGGGTTATTCCAATTAACATTTTGAGTTATAATGATAATTATAAATGAGTTGGACCACCACTACATATAAATAATTACAATAAATATATGAAAGCATAATAATCCTTACGCAAGCGAATTTTACCGGGATCAAAATGAAAATATATTTTTGAGTCAGATTGTTTTTCGTTTATTTTGTTACAACTACTCTGAAAATCCATTCTCAGAAAGAGTGAAAGTTGGCAGGTATGATATACCCATAATATATCAAGCTGGTAAAAACTGACTGAGACGGATTTGGTTAGGAATCGACTGCAGTGCTTCAGAATGAGAAAAACAAAGTTGACAATTTAGATGAAATATGTATGTTTAACACGTTGCGCGCCGCGTCTGCCATCGGTGGCTGACGCTGGACTTTCCATTTAGGCCGCATCAACCACCGGTAGCTGATACTGAAATTACATTTAAGCCGCGTCAACCACCGATGGCTGACACTGAAGTTACATTTAGGCTGCGTCTGCCACTGCTTGCTGACACTGACCTTTCACATAGGCCGCGAAAAACAGCTGGCTGACAGCGTATAACATGATATAGAACTATAAAATTTACACTCTTTTATGGAATTGCAGAAAATGTATTCAAAATTTACTTAATTATTATGATTCTTGGTTTAATAAATTCAAATGAGTTGATTTTTATCCACCACTATTTCTAACAATTCGTAGGCATATATAATTCACCACTTTTTTCACATATGTTATGCTAAACCTTTCATAAACTAGCAAAATCAGTCTATATTTGCAAATTTAGTTTGTAATTATTTACCGTGTGGCCAGACGAGCAAGCCATATAACATTAGCGTGGCATTCAGCGTGTTAAGTATGGTACAAAAAGTTATCAAGTTCATTAAAATTCCCTTGTTATATCCATGACTATAAACTGCAATAATAGTAGTTGTTGTTTCAACAATATTTTTTGCGGTTGAATATATAAATGGAATATGCATGTTTAAGTATGGTACAAGAAATAAACGAGTTCTTTAAATTCCCTTGTTATATCCGTGATTATTGCAACAATATTTATTCCTGTAGTTTTTGTTGCAACAACAACACTTATGACACTTAACAGTATTTGTTAAATGTGGTACAAAAAGTAAATAAGTTCTTAAAAATTCCCTTGTTATATCCGTAACTATAGCAACAATATTTGTTGTAGTAGTTGTTGTTGCAACAATATTTGTTACAACAACAATACTTATAACACTTAACAATGCTTGCCAAGTATGGTACAAAAAATAAGCGAGTTCTTTAAAATATCCTTGTCACTAATATCGCTAAATACTACAACAAATAATATATCTTTAACAGGCAGAAAAAAGTTGTATCAGATATTCCCACTAATGGAGAAAATTAATTAACAATAAGGAAAGTCCAGAATAATTCCTGTTAAACATTACTTACCAATATTCATTTCAAACGCATTGGCGTATTTTCTCAGGACAAACCTATGACCCTCGCAAAATGCCGATAACGGCCCCAGGCTCCCAGATTTTCGATGATGATGATGACCCTCGCAATATGTTTTATTCACTGTATATAATTTTCAGGATGAATGGGGTAGGGGCCACTGCGCGGCCTAGGCACCCAGTTTTGTTTAAATAAACAAAGAAAGAATTACCCTCGCAATTGAATTTTGTATAATTTATTCTTTTTGAGACAGGGTCTCATAAACACATTCACAATCAGAGTATAAAATGAAATAATGGAAGGAAAACTATTTTTTAGCTGTTTATGTAGGAGCCTAGTAATAATAATTGTATAATTTTTTTAAGCCACTACAATTTTGTTCAAAATAGAAATTATTTACTACAACTTTAAACTAACACTGATAAAATATATTAGAATTAAAGTAAAAGCAAAAATAAGTCTGTCAAATTAGCCATGCCTCTTATTTAAGCTAACGTTTTTTTTTTCTTTCCCGATTCTGATCCTTTAGGAATGCATTTATGACTCCCTCGTCCCGAAGAGGTTGAAAAATACTTGGTTTAATGTTGTTAAACAGTATTATTTAATTATATATTTTGATTGTTTTTTCTTAGGATGTGGAGGATACCTCAGTGGAAGTAACGGAACCTTAACCTATCCTGAAAATGGTGTCCACTATAACCATAAACAAGACTGTGCTTGGGTGATTAGAGTATCATCTGGGAAGGTAAGTTCACTATTTTTTTTTTTGCTTGATATATAAGTTTCATTTCATATATTTTTATATTTTTTACTAAATAAGTTCCATTTTCGTTTAAATTTCTTGGGTGCTCCTCGCTCTATTGAATAGATATATTTTGTTTTTAACAGCATCTGATCAACACCTCCTGAAAGAGAGAAGGCCTCAGCGCGGATCAATTTAGTAGCCCGACGTAGCAAACATAAACTGCGCAATGGTGGAAACAAGAAATATGTCACTACGTTTTGGTTTCGAAGCTGCGCAGTGAGCAAAAATACTAGAGATATCATTAAGTTTTGACCACTAAAGGATCAAATTTCTTGTTAATGGTAACTCGTGCTCAGGCTTTCTCTCTTCTTAGAGGTATTGATCTAATTCGAACTAGAGATACGAGATTGGGATGGGCGTCTTCCAACCAAAGCTTCTGTTGTTGTTTCTAATGCCACTTGCCACATGGGCAAACCTGCTTGGTGAAACCGAGCAAATTTAAGGCAGAGTGTGCGTTTCTTGTTTTCAGTGGCGCCATCTATGGCCAAGAATTCGACTTGTGCCACGCCGTACGTCGCACCCGTTTATAGGGTGGACCCATTCATACATTCATTCATTCATCCACAGATCCTAATTTTGACCTGAGTCAGAGAACGATCGATCTCCTATCCAGTACCCCGAGGGGTATTGATTTGTTATAGGAACTTGAAGGACTTTTGCGACTCGACAGATTTAACGTGCATCAGTCACTTTATTACACGGGGAGTCTTCAGCCGGCGGGATTTGAATCCACGAACTCTCGGACATGGGACCAGTGCCCTACCGACCAGGCTATCCCGGCCCTACCAAAGCTTCTTGCATGTGAGAAAAAAAATGAACTCAGATAAAATAAATCAGAGAGGACGGAAAACAAGAAGTTCGTCAGTGTTATTCTAACTGTTCGGAATAAAATGTTCATTAATTGCAATGTTTAGGTAGTTAAAGTAAGCAGGCATTCTCTTGTAACTCCCCCCAGCTTTCCGACTCCTCATCGTACTTTGTTTGTTTAGTTCTATTACCCTTTACAGTTCTGACCATTTTCATCTTGTGAAATGAAGTATAATATTTGTATGCATTATCTTTTTATATGAATATGGGAACACATCCCTTTTTAATAGGTTGTGAACGTCAAAGTCAATCACTTCAGCTTAGAGTCCGGTGAGAATTGTCAGTATGACTTTCTTCAACTGAACGATGGACCAACAGCTGCATCTCGAGTCATTAATCGATTTTGTGATGACCACTTGGATGGAAAAAACTTCACGAGTAGTCACAACGAGCTCTACATGTGGTTCCATTCCGATTCCAGCTATGCTTCGACCGGATTCTCTATGGAATGGAGCGAAGTTGATCCAGGTAGGAATGTAAGGACAGTAAATAAGGCTGATACTTCAGTAAACTTTTCATTGAAAATTTGTAGCATATCAATGTTCGTGCTTATGTTACCATTTACCTCTAGTTTATATTTTATTCTTAACTAAGATGCTTAGGCAACTCAATTAAAAAAAAAACATTACAGGTTTTTGATCTTAAAGTTACATACTATTTTTAGAAAAGTATAACTAAAAAAATAGAAATCAGTGTAATTGTAAGAAAGGCTGTATCTTTGTTACCTTCGCAAATATCAAATAAAAATGTTCCTCTTCAACCCATTTGTGCACTGCATCTTTTTAAAGATGGTTAATATTTTTAAAAAAGAAAAAAAGGTAGCATTGTTTAATTTTTAGGATTTATTTAGAAAACATACGATAGTTTTGTCTATCATGATGTGCATAAATATTATAAATGTTTATATAAATTTTTATATAAATTCTTAGTTCTGAAGTGAAAGCATATTGCGTTTTAAAACCTACAGTGGTAGGTTATAAAAAGAGGAATGCTCAAATTTATCGCAAGGATTCGATAACTCAAACGTGTATATACCCTGCTCTACAATAATGAGAGAGACACTTTCAGCTTTTAACATTTTTTTTTAATTTCTCAAGAAATACTTATAGGATTATCTTATAACTTTAAAGATAATTAGTTTAAGAAATTTTTAATACTTAGCAAGAATGTTTGAAGCCTTCAGGGACCGACAATAGTTTACGAAGCAAAACAAGTATTTCTGTACACCTTATGCCAGAAAATCAAGTAATAAACTTGTACCGATTACTTTGGTTGTTCATTGCAAACACTGCATAAAATTTTCATAAACCTAACTTAAATATTTCTGGAGATATGGACATTTTTATGAAAAATAAATTTTTTTCTCTACTTTTCTTCATTTTACGTTTTTGTTTTTTAATTATTTGATAAAATTAAACAAAATTTTTCGAGCAATTAAAATTTAATTATAAAATTACCGTTTTGAAATTTTAAAAAAATTATTGTAAAACTGCTCCAGATACTCCAAAATAATTTTAAAAAACTGTAAATAACTACAGAGCAAATTTTGCAAATATTTGACTATTTTTGCTTGCTTTTTAAAAGTTATAGCATGACATGAGACTATAAAATGGTGAATTATATAAGCCTACGAATTATTTAGAAATAGTGGTGGATAAAAATCTACTAAGTTGAATTTATTAAACCAAGAATCACGATTGATAAACTACCACTTTAAAATATATATCTGTCCGGAGCAAAGTTGGAATCTCTGAAGATATAACTATTTAAAGTAGTTCTTTTATACTGCGCATGTGCGAAGAATTTTTTAAAAAAAAACATTTTTTCATAATTTCGTAGGAAATTGTGTTTGGCAACTAATGAAAAAAAATTCTAACTTGAATATTTTAAAAATTTAAAGAGTTTTAAGCAATTTTCTAAGTAGTTTTTGTACTTTAATAAAACACGTCAAAATGATAAAAGATTTCCGATAAATTGTGTTATAAAACAATTGATAACATCTAATAGCATTTTGTGTTATAAAAAAAATTTAATAACAAATGATAATTCCTTATCATGTCGTCCAACCACCATAAGACAAAAAAAAAGTTTTTAATAAAAAAAAGTCCACATCTTCATGTATATTATACTACCAGCTTTATCTAACTAAAAAAGTACTTACGGCCATGCCGGATGTTTATTTGTCTGTCTGTTTTGAAAAAATTAATTGTCTTGTGTTCAATCATTTTCAGTTTGTGGGGCTGAACTAAATGTATCGGAGTATGGCTCCATAAATTCTCCAGGATATCCAGGTCCTTATCCTCATAATAGGACGTGTCTTTGGTTGGTAAAAGTGCCAGTTGGAAAAAGAATACAGTTCCATGGCATTTTATATATTTTGTGTCATAAAACAAAATTTTATAACAAATGATGATTCCTTATCATAGTCGTCCTACCACCATCAGACAAAAAACGTTTTTAATAAAAAAAGTCCACATGTTCATGTATATTATACTACCAGCTTTATCTAACTAAAAAGTTACTTACGGCCTTGCCGGATGTTTATTTGTCTGTCTGTTTTGAAAAAATTGATTGTCTTGTGTTCAATCATTTTTAGTTTGTGGGGCTGAACTAAATGTATCGGAGTATGGCTCCATAAATTCTCCAGGATATCCAGGTCCTTATCCTCATAATAGGACGTGTCTTTGGTTAGTAAAAGTGCCAGTTGGAAAAAGAATACAGTTCCATTTTGCGACCCTTAAGTTGGAGAGTCATGAAAATTGCTCGTACGATTATTTAAAGGTGATTATATTTTATTATTCCATCATTAAAATTATACAGTAAGTAATCTAATGTATGTTCATGATATTGATAAAATAAAAGTATTAATGAATTCGGAAAGTTGCGAACTCAATATAATTGTTTCGGCATACGATAAGTTCGACTTTGACACGATAGGTTCCACGCACGGCAATTTCTTCATAGATATACACCGAGGAGCCATTACATTATGACCACCCTCCATCTAAAACAATGGGCTCACCCAGGTTTTCATGGTTTCTCGCCCAGGAACAATGCTTTCATGGGGCATATTACAACCCATAATGCTCATAGAACAATCCCTGACGTCTATAAGCTACTTGAACATAGTTGCAGACCAGGTTCACCCATTCATGGCAAAAAATTTTCCTGCCGGGGATGGTGTTTACCAACAGGATAATGCACCATGTCATAAGGGTCGAATCGTCATGGATTGGCTCGAGGAACATACCAGTGGCTTTCAATATCGTCTTGTCCCCAAAAGTCACCTGACGTTAATCCAATAGAGCCTTTGTGATCCTACTTGGAAAACCAAATTCGTGCTGCCACGCTACCCCCTCGCAATGTGAGAGAACTGCAGGACCAGTTGGTGAGCGATTGGTACCAGATTCCTCAGACTACCTATCAGCACCTTGTGGAATCAATGCCACGGCGGATGCTAGCAGTTTGGAGGGCTAGTGGTGGTCCTACCTGTTATTAGCAGGGTGGTCATTATGTAATGGCTCTTCAGTGTATTCAACCTATGAAAATTTCAATATAATATACTGCGTATTACAAATTCAACTAATGGGTAAAAAGGAATCTAATGAATTGGAGCAAGAACTAATAAATTCTAATAGAGCTGATAGTAACTAAGGTCGAGAAATAAAAATATTAAGGAAAAATTGAAAGAAAGAAATATTAAAAAAATTCGGAAAAAAGATAATTCGGGGATTTTTTATATTTCTAAGTGTTCACGAAATGAAATTGTTCTGGTAAAACAACATTATCAGTAATGGTTATTGTTCAATATGTAAAGACGTTGTGCCGAATGATTTTACAACAATGATTCTTGATTTTCTTTAACGACATCAAACAGTGCAATGTTCTATCTCGTATAGTGAGAAAAAAAAGAGAAAAAAAGATATCACCCTGTGTAACTTTCGTTCTAATGATCGGATTTTCACGTATTAAGTATCAATCTTAATGGTTCCTGGGAGTGACCTCAAATATGCTAATTATTTAGTGCTAACTATTAATTAAATAACAAAATCGGACAAAAAAACCTACTTTCTTTGAATAAACATATTTTTGTTTTTTACATATTTGGATTTTTAATCTTCAAAATATAGGAGGTAGACGTAATCTGAGAAATATGGTCCCCATAGTTTGGTCAGGAGAACGATCCAAAGTTCGGACCCCTTCATGTTAATTTCACTTTTTGGGTTTTTAGTCATTTTTAATACTAAATAAGCAATTAAAAAATTTAAAATTGCATCTACTCATAAAAGCCAAGGTAATTTTTAGCCAAAGCTAATTTCATGCAAAAAGTAATTTACTATTTTTTATTATTTAATTTAATTGAGGATAAAAAAATTTGAATTAGGAGGAATTAATTTTTTATACCATATTAATCTACACATTTTTCTATTGAAAAATCTAAAATTTCAAGTGTACCAGATACATTTCTGCATACAGTTCTACATAAAAGTAGTGGAATCGATATAAATTAAAACTAATTATTTTTAATCAAATAATTTGGCAACAATGAAGAATTAATTAAATAGGGCGATTAATATTTAAATGTGGTTAACATATGAGGACTTGTTAATCCTTTCCTTATTTTTTAAATTATAAAATAATTAACATCCCAAGTCATTCACGCCTGACGAGTCTTGAGAATGGGCACTTACATTTGAACGCTAGAAATATGTCTACTTTTATTTCTCTCTTCATATTTTTTGAAGCAAGTGAAGTGTTTATCATCAATTATACTGGTCATTGATCATTGTTTTGATAAGGATTTTATGCGTGTAAAAGTAAACATATGCATTTTAATATTTTAACAGGATTCGTGTGATCTTTAAAAAAGTAAGATAATCGTAACGTCAATATTGTCACTATAAAGTTATCATAAAAAAAAATTTTAAATTTTGAGACCAGATATTTTGAGTTAAATTGAATATTTTATCTTTTAAATTTTTGTGCAACCATTTTAGTACCTTAAGAACTTTACGAACTCTGTTTAAGAGGAGAGTATCGTATCAGATATATATGATAAAACAAAGAAATCGTAGTAGCGGTATTTGGTGATAAATGTAGCTTATCGTAATTGAAAAACATGTTATTTCGACATTTTATGGAGAATTTGCAAAAATAAATTTCTGAATGTATCGAAACATCAGGATGCTATTTGCAAATCATCTTTATCAAAAGTAAACCATGTAACCTAAATGTCTGGCTATTTTTAAGCAATCAATCATACAGTATGCAACATGTAATTTCAATATGTTATTCTTAAACATAACATATTTAAATGTTTTTAAAATGCCACTTAACAGTCAGTAATTCCATCAATTACAGAAAAAAATATTGTAAATTATATGAAACCTTGTGAATGTTCATTAGAATTACTATACAATCTACATTTTTTTCAGGAACTTTTTTTTGTTTCTTTAAACTTTCTTGTCTAGAAGTCTCGATCAAAGCTGCAAAGATGATTATCTCTAAAATTTTGTATATAGTAATAATAAGCTATGTAAATTTCATTTTAGTATGAAATCTTCGAATAAATGGAGTAAAAACAACATAAAAAGACCCAAATGATGTCAGATAGAAAGTTCATGTATTCAAATTCTAAAAGTTTAGAAAATCATAAATAATTTATAGATCGATTCAAATTTTCTTTTCAAATGAGAATAAAATGGAAAAATACCTTCGCTTTTTGGTCAGAAGTCATAAAAAAATTGTCTTTTGCCAAGAAACTTCAAGATATTTTCTCTTAACTATTAATGAATAAACCTACCCGAGCAATCACAGAATACTATTTAGTTTTTTTTTAAAATTCTGAACTTGGTTACTTAGCAACGGAGTAAAATTAAGTATTTCTCTCTAGAATTAGTCCATGGGTTATCTTAAAATATTCATTTGCGACAGCGACTTTGCTTTTTAATTTTTGGGACTATCGCCAAATATATATAAAATATTAGCCCCCAATTTATGATCCAATCTTTTCTAAATTCTGTTACCCCCCCCTCCTACTTTTAAGCTCTGGAAACCTTCTGGTCACGTATTTACCAAGTTTTATCATTATCCATCAATCAAAATTAATGTTGGTCTAAACAGATTGATTTTAATTCTAAGCAATTATAAGCATCATGTACTTTTAACATGCTTTGTATCTTCTATAATTGGTAAGCTTTTCACGATACGATAATTTTTATTTATTTTATCTAATATTTTTTGTTTAGATTTTCGATGGTGCTTCAGAAAGAGACCCATTGATAGGTACATATTGCACAACAGTCACACCTCCACCACTGACAACATCTGGACACGCAGCAACCCTACTTTTCCACTCTGATCATTCCGTTCAGGATACAGGATTCCATATTGTCTATTCATCACAGTCAAGTAAGCATGTTTCTTTTAGAATGACCCACTTCGCCATATGCTTGGAAGTCTTTAACCAATTAAGCGTACACCGTGGGAAAAACCCTTTATTGAAAAGTCTCATTTTTCTAACTATTCAAAATTCAACATTTAAAGTATAGGAAGTAAAGTATAGTAATTCAAAATTTAAAGTATAGGGAAAAAAGCTAGATTACAGCTCTCCAGACCCATTCTCCAGAATTTACCACTTGCCACGAGATAGGAACCTCGCGAAAATACAAACGAACAAGCAATATGTGGGCACGAGACTCGAGATCCCAAGTCACACCTGAGTAGGAATGCCACAAATTGAGTCAAAAATAAAAGCATACCTGGAAGCACCAAGTGCTGAATCCAGTACCCACAAGGCTACAGTGCCTGTTCGGCTTCAGACGATGGTCAAAGCCGGTAAGTCTCCTGTAGAGAGGCAACAACAAAAAGCAGTCACCACACTGTGATCCTCTGAGCTACCCCAACGCCTCCTATAAATGAAAGCCTCCGCACGGTTTTTTATAGGTAGTCCGGTTAGACCACTATAAAGGATATCCACTTTTCGAACGAGTCATTTAATACAAAATCTAGTTGAAATAAGTGGTAGCAAATATATGACTAAATTTTTTTTTTATTTATGAATATTATTGGTTTGCCTTATTCACTTGTCAGCCACTACAGATTCAATTCTCAAATATATATGATAAATTTCTCTCAATTACTTTTATAAGAGGCTTTGGGTTCATGCGCACAACTGGTTCACTTTTTAAATAGTCTGCGCGGATTACTAATAAAAGACCGTGTGGAGGCTTTTTGATGATGTAGGAGGTGATGGCTGCCCTCAAGGTGAAAAGTTACACGATTCTTACGTTATTCAAACATATTTACAAAATTGAGAGTTTAAAATACATTAAAATCGTAAAAAAAGTTTCTAGTAGATTTACCCTTTCGTGCTGACTGTCACAAATATGTGCCAGCATAAAACCGTATCACTCAGGGTAAAAAGATAAAACTGGTAATCAAAGTATTTCTTCAGCAGTTTATTTGTGGACGGAGTTATAATTGTTTTATTTATTTAATTCACCATTACTTTGCTCAAAATAAAACTATTTATACTTTGTATTAACATTGATTATAGATATGATTAAAGTAACAATAATTAAAGTAAAACCAAATCTGTCAAATTCGCAATGACAGCATTTAAGTTACCGTTTTTTTTTTATTTAATTACAACTTGATTCAGATTTTGTACGAATGCTTTTCTGAATCTCCCGTCCCCAAGGGGTTAAAGAGTTCCAAGACTGGCTTACAAAACTAGTGGTTGATTAGAATGCAGCCTCAGATGTAATTAATTATTTTCTGGATTCTCCCTAGAGTTTGCTAGTTCAAAGGACACATCCCTTTGAGTGCAAAAGGGATACAAGGGATCCCCCTTACATTCACCCTTAAATTGAACATTTTGTTGGCTTAATTTTGTTGGTAAACAGTTGATGCATTTTCTCTTGGCTTTATATGATTTCATCTGGTATCCCGACGAGGCGAATCACGTTTGGCGCAAGTCTTTTGCTTCGAGCTATCCTTCCTCATATTAGCATGCCTATTACACCAATAGCACCTCAGAGCCCTGAGGAACTATTCAGCATAAAGGCAGCTCTAGCCCAACTTGGCTCTAGCTCTTTCAAGGACCTTAGCGAAGATCTTTGGTACGAATGCCCCTACCCAGTGATCACTTTACGTCATTTAATTGGAAAAGATACCTCAAATTGAGCATCTTTCAGCTCCTTATTACTCTTCCAAGGAGAGTAGCTAGGCCTTCTTTCAACGACAACAAAATTTTCGCTCTTGCCCTTTTGCTCAAACTCCGCAGTAAATTTTTCAGCGTCTCTATTAGTTTCAACATGCAGTAACATTCCTTCGCTGTGAATTCTTTTGAAACGTTTGACTTCAAGCTTGAATTCCGAGGTCGTTTTTGCCCATACACAACGACGTCATCTCTGCAAAATATACAGCATGTTTTTTTTTTAAATACTATAATTTTTAAAAGATTGGACAATTACGTTTTGTGAAAACTCCAAGCATTACATCCGCTTCAGGATGTAACAATCTAGGTCCTCAAACAAATAGAACAGGGCTCGAAAAAACTCAGAAATTTTACCCGTCCCCGAGGACCCGTCCTCCTTTGAAACTAACCCTTTGCTTCTAAATAAATAAAAATATAATTTTCTCTTATTTATTACAAACATTTATATAAATTGCACAATGAATTAGTAGTTACTAGGATTACATTATACAGTAATAAAAGAAATACTAGGTTACTAATAGTGACCTAGTATTTCTTTTATGAAATAATTCATTCCTTGTATGGAATAATTTAAATGACAAAGGTCAAGTTATCTGGAATGTCAATTTATCCGAGGGTACTGCGTTTTTTAAATGAATCAAATATGACGTTTGCATACCTGCCAACTTTTAATCCCTTCCATTATGATTTTTCCCAGTGGTATTAAAATGGAATAAAGATTTCAATTTTAAGCAAAAAAATCGTTGTATTTGAAAAATCTTAAGCTGCTTATCATGATAGTAACACATATTTATATACATGCTTAATTTTTTTGGAATAGTGGTGATGAAAATCATTTAAAAATTTAGTTTATAAAAGAAAAAATAGTATATATTTACTACCACTTTAAATATAGAAATAAAATTTTACGCCAAATGCGTAAAAGTTGGCAGGTATGCGTTTGCTAGATCCACAATCAAGCCAATGATTTACAGAGGTTTCTGCACAGAAATCTGAAAAAGGTTTTCCATTTAGGTAGATGTTCATAATTGCGTTTAACGCTACTTGTTTAAGGCCAGTACGTAATGTGTTTTCTTGTAAGTTCATTGCTGAAAAGCCCCTTTTCAACCTCTGAAGTACTCCCAGACAGAGTAAACATATATTCCACCATGCGCAGTATGTTGCTGCATTTCTAGATTAGAGGGTCATTTTAGAAGTGAAGCGCTAGACTCGTGTAAGATAACAAAAATTGAAAATGTATCACGAACATTAACGGGAAAATGGCAGTCCGCGCGGACGTCGGATTCGAGAAATTCGTTGTCCGCGGTGAATTTTTGACCACCGAGGACGGACTGTTTTTCGAGCCCTGAAATAGAACCAAACGACAATGATTAAATAAGTTAGATTTTAAGTTAGAGCAAAAATAGGTCTGTAAAATTACAATTTAAGCTACAGAGTTTTATTTTTTCCCATCCAAACTCTGTTCCAAAGCTTTTGTGAGTCACCCGTCTGGAGGCAACGCCTTCACACGGTTTTTTATAAGTAGTTTGATCAGACCACTATGGAGGACATCAACATTCCAAACGAGTTATTTAATACAAAATCTAGTTAAAATAAGAAAGTGGTAGCAAATATGTGACTAAAAATTTGCTTTATTTACGAATATTATTGGTTTGCCGTATTCACTTGTCAATCTCTACAGATTCAATTCTCAAATATATATGATAAATTTCTCTCAATTACTTTTATAAAAGGTTTTGAGTTCATGAGCACAACTGGTTCACTTTTTAAATAGTCTGCGCGGACTCCTTCTAAAAGACCGTGTGGTGGCTTTTTGATCTAGGAGGTGATGCCTAAGGTGGCTAATCGCATTAAATGGGTCATTACTACATACTAGCTGTAAAACACTAGCGTCCCTTAGATCAAATTACCACTTAAACCACAATGATCTAGGAACCGCTGCTTCTACGCCTTGGAATTTTCTTTTAGTCCTATGAATATAGTCTTCGATACCATTATATTACTAATTATTTTAAAATAGTTATAATAAACCTGCATTTTTTCTGACACTTTTCTTTGTTACAGACGTTCAAGGATGTGGTGGAACATTAACAGCTCCTACTGGAAATTTACGCTCTCCCAACTTTCCAGATGTTTACGAGAATAATTTAGTTTGCGAATGGTTAATACGCATTCATCCAGATAACAGACTTTTGCTCAAATTTACGGATTTTCACACTGAAAGTCACAATGAATGCAACTTTGATGCTGTGGAGGTAAAAATAATTATTGACTCTGAATACGTACATATTCAGAATTAAAAAATTTTGTTAGAGATAAGAAAAAAGTTATTTTGCTAACACCTTCCCACAGTAAAATAGAAGTCTAAAAAAATGTTTTTGAAATTTTTTTTCAGGTTTAAGATGAAAGACTTAACCTCTTCCCCGATTTTCCAAAGTTATCTCGGTTTTGTATACATTACAATTAATTTTTGTCCCGAGAAAGCTCAAGCGTAACAGAACTTATTGGTGGGATTGCTGTCATCTCGTTTTATGCTCCGTAAAAGAAAGTCAGTTGTAGTAACTGTAGTAAAGTTTTCTTCGAGTGTTTGCGCTTTCTCTAGTCAAAAGTTAAAAATTCAGCTCTATTTTTTGTGATTCAGGTAATTTTAGGTTTTAAATCTAACATTACCTTGGTAAATGCTTAGACAATGCAATTTAAATCATTTTTTCACAACTGGAGGTTCGCGAATTCCTATGAGTTCACCATGCGNTATTGTGGGGATTTAATTTTTGACTGTGTCAACCTTCATCTATCAAAAGGTACCTCAAGATAGAATCGAGTTAACATGTCTTATATATTAGTGATTTGGTATTTAATATTTGTAGTGGTAGTTACGCCACATTACTCCCCTTCCAGAATTGTATCTGTGATAGGATTCGATGGACAATTACCACTAGTTGATTAATGCTGTTTATTTAACTTCAATTTTTGCTCATTATATTTTTAAAAAAAATTTTTTTTGTAGCTTTTCGCTATTTTTTTCCATCATTTTTTTACAGCTTTTCGCTATTAATATTTTTTTTCTAGCATTTCGCTCATTATTATTTATTAACCGGGGGACTTTATTTACTTCACCGGATTTTTTTTTTGAGCAGTATATTTTTTTTAGCAAATCAACTGTTTATTGTGGATTCATCCATCAATATTGACATATTCTTATCACGTCCGCAGGTCATCAATGTGGGGAATTAATTATCGACTATGTCAACCTTCATCTATCAAAAGGTACCTCGTGAAGGATTCAAGTTAACATGTCTTATATACTAGTGATTTGGTATTTAATATTTATAGTGGTAGTTACGCCACAGAACTATCAAATAGGAGGAGTCCCCCCTCTGCAAAGAACCGAAATTGTGATGGCATGTCTACGGAAAATCCTTAAAAATGTTTCTCTAATCATCAGTGATAGCTCATCGTGCAGCTCTAGTTTTATTTAAATAAAGTTCAAAGAGGTTAAAATTAAACTGACAGTACTCAGAGGCACGTGACTCTAGTTCCGCTGAATGAGTCCGGACGAAATTTTTAATACATGTTGTGTAGATTATGCAATTGTGGTTTCCGTCGAAAGACAATCGTTCAGAATTTCGCCAACAGGTGGCACTGCAGTAAGGACTGTTATTCCACATTGCTGCTGTACACAGAAAGTCCGACAAGTAAGAAAATGGTCAGATATCTCGAGCGACACTTTTAAGTTTTAGTGAGGTAACTTATTTTTTTAGAAAATTCTTCTTGCTTTAACTCTTATTTTTACTTCCAATAAGTTATATGTTTCCCAATGACCGTACAATTTATCAGCTGTTAAGTGTCGTAATAGTCTAATACATAGCTGCCAACTTTTTGTGATTTTTGCTAAATTTTCTACAGTGGTTGTTGGAGAAGCCGTGACGGCTGAGATAAAAAAGTGTTCGCCTTCCGATGAGGTAAACCGAATTTCGATAAAAACAAACATCCTTTTTTTAATAATCTTAAACATTGTACCAAAATAGTTTAATGGCGTACAAAATACTAAAATTAAAAAAAATAGTTGCCAACACAATATTTCACTTCCCCCCAAAACAAGCTTAAAATAGAATAGTTTTTTTGCCATTTTTTTCTTTCCTTTTTTGAGTAATTTAAATCCCTGTGCGTTTATCTAGATATTTTTAAGGCCCATCACTACTGGATTTCTATTGCCTCACAAAAACCTTTCATACAGAAATGAAAATTATGAGTACAATAAAAGTTATTTTATCTATTACACATCAAGCCAATATGTTGAATAGATGCTTTCTTGTATTTCAGGTTTTTGCTGGTACAAATGACGCTGCGCCTCTTATTGGTCGCTACTGTGGCACCACCATTCCAGAGGAAATTTTCTCTGACAGTCATCAATTATTCATCAGGTTTAGAACTGATACTTCTCTAAGATATAAAGGATTCAGAGCTGAATATAAAACAAGTGTGTAGTTTTATTTCTTTTTTTAAAAATATAAACATTTTAATAAATTTTTATCAATATTTATAAATAGCAAATCGATTGAGTTTTAATTGTTTTTGTAAGTAATTGTAGCCTGAATTTAAAAGTTGTGCTACCATTTTTTTAAAAATTGTTTTAAAAAAAATCATATGGTTATTTAATATTCTTCAGTACGCTGTTAGACATTTCTCGAAAAAATTGTTGAATGGTTGAATTTATTTAATTGTTATTTTACTATATCCAAACAAAACAAATAAATAACCACAAATAAGATTGCATTCAAACTGTTAACAGTGAAAAAAAAAACGTTTATTAATTGCTTTCACCTAATGCGGTTAAACAACCAGAATTTTATCTCACCAACTAGACCCACCTAATGAATCCACTTGGCTCCCTACAGTTGGGTACATATTATAGTCCAGAGGGCTAATCTGTTATTTTCGTGACTCACAGAATAGGAGTTCGAATCCCAGCATGGACAACACAATATTTCCTCCATTCCCTTCACTCGGGAAGAGTTTCAGTGTCTTGGAAGCCCCTATTTGTGACCCTGGGCTGTTACAATACGATACTACGCATAGATGAAAGCACCATAAAGCTGCTAAACTATCTCCAATGTCCAGTTAGATTTCCTTTTTACGCTTTCAAAACCATGCTAGTTGTAAATGGTTAAAAATCCATTTAGTTTTCTATTCATGACTTTTAAACGATAATAGGTTTCGAAACCGTAAAATAAAAAAATGTTTTTTACCTTAAACTTTACGGTTAATTGGATGAACAGACCGCTGCCGATTATTTTACCGTAATTTTAGAATGAAGATTCTAACTGTGTATCTATATTGTTTTCTCAATATTTATAGTATGAATCCTGAGTTTGAGAACAAAATTTGACTATTTATATTATTCATATGTAACTCGTCAGAAAAGTTAGGGTGCACTTTTGAAAGATTGCCAACTTTTATTATTCCCAAATATAATTTTCGAAATTGGTAATTTAAGGTTAATTTGAAATATAATTGTAGGCAGAAATATTTAATTAATAAATAAATTAGTAAATAAATTAATAAATTAATTTGAAATATAATTGTAGGCAGAAATATATTTCTCTATTTACCACGCGTTAAATACATCATTTAAAATCAAATATAATTTATATATCAAAAAATTAAAAATAAGGGCATAAATTCTGCTATCACTTTAAATATTAAAATTAATTTTTACGGGAAATCCGTAAAATTTGATAGCAATGCCTTTGACCGGTCAAAAGTGCAACAAGATTTTACCGACACATTTCATAACTGAACTGCTGACCCAATTTTGAGTTTACGACTACCAATGTTCAACTCCGTAGCCTCGTAATTTTGAATCCAATCCAGAAGACAGAGGAACTCCTGGTTCAAGTATTGGGAGAAATTTGCCTTTGTGGAGGACATGTTGAGGAAAATAACCCGCATTTACGTTACGCGGCTAAGAAAACTACGAAAAACTTTAACGGTTAGCCTGACGGCAAAGGGACTCTGTCCCATCCGTCTACCAATAAGGATATTTTACGTCTGCACTGTGAATGGTGCGAGCTGGCTGCAAAATTCGTATCAACCAACTATCGCTGGGATTCAAATCTGGGTCACTTACGGACACATTATACTTTGGTGAAATCGAATATTTTTGTTTCACCGCAGGGGTACTAATAAAAAGCACAAATCTCCTAGCATATTTTTTTCAGTTTAACATCCAAAGTGAATGTAAAAAATGGTTTTGTTCTAAAGATAAACAATGTGCAATGTAAATCATCGTGGTACTTACGATCTTAAAATTAAATAGATTAAATAAATTAGAGTTTGTACCATTTTTCTCTTTTTTAGTCGCTCGTGGCAGAACATTAGAAGCAGGGATGCCGTAGGCGACTAAAAATACAAGAAGTGGTAAAAACTCAATTCATTTTTGTTAAATTTATTTCATTATTCAATCGTAACTATCACCATGGCAGTATTAATATATAACGTATTAACATATAAAACAAAAAAAATTCTTTGCAAGCACCTTTTATAATAAACAGAAAAAATATGTGCGAAAAAGTTGCTAATTTTAATCTCTTCTAATAGAGTTTTGCCTTTTCCACCACTTTTTCAATTTTTTGTTTCCTGTGAAAATTAAAATTGCATAATATTTTATAAGAAATACATTAAAATTCTACCTACGAAATAATAGGAGCAAACTATCATGTTATGTGCATATGTAAATAATTTAAATTTAATACTTTGCAACATAAATCTTAATCATATTTATTTACCCAAAATTCAACACAAACTCGTCTATCGCGAAATTTCCACAGAGCGGAACAAATTGCACTCTCTGAATAAGTGAAAAGAAGTGTTTTTTTTTCTGTCTTTTAATAAAACTTATTAATTTCTAGTAGTTTTGATTGAATTTTCAATTCATTGATTTTCAGTTTGTGGTGGTGTTTATACCGAAGCTACTGGCATACTCAAAAGTCCATTTTTTCCCGACTATTATCCAGCTCGAGCTCTATGCTTATACGAAATCCGATTGAGTCCCGGCTACCTCATCAATGTCACCTTCCATAATATGGAAATAGAAAGTCATCTTGATTGTCGCTTTGACTATCTACAGGTGAGTTTTTTATAACTTGTGAAACAGAGAAACATGCAATCCTTTAACTTTACCAAAACTGCTTAATGAGACAGATGTAATAATTTGTAACAAATGTAATAATTTGTAACGTTCTTCTTCATCCTTGGTGGGCTTCGGCTTTTTTTGACCACAAAGGCACCACTACACCCTCTCTCCCCGGCTCTTCGGAATGTTTTTCTTTACATGCCTTTTACCTCGTTAGGTACTTGGATATTTACTCGTTAGGTACTTGGATTATTTTTCAATGTAAAGCAATATAAAATGATCGGCGGTAATGGGGTAACAGTTATATCATATACACATTCATGTTTCTTACTTGTAAGAAAATAAATAATGATGAACTGCTTAACACATTTTACTCCTCTGAAAAATCAGCTACGCTACAAATGAAATAGAATCTTGTGGTGTGAACTGTGGTTCGGTTTCTAAAAAGAAACGCTAAAATAAAGCTTAAAAATATTTTCAGAGATGGCAGCAATCTAGTGCAATGCTTCTGCTGCCAAAGTTTAGGATAAACACGAAATTGTGCTGACAGGCACTTTTGTCACTAATGCAAAAAGCAGCTAGACACTCCAATCATTATTCAATGAAACAAACATCACTTTGAACACAAAAATCATTACTATGCGATATATTTTTCTTAGAATCATTAAACATCCTGTATCATTGAAATAAACATCGGAAGAGTAACACTTTCAAAAACCTTTTACGGTTAGCGAAAAAGAACACTCTCTCGTCAATTGATCTAGTTTGTCAAGTTGTTTATAAATATTCCTATAAGCCCAGGTAATGCTTGATTTTTTGCTTACTACCGCTCTACAAAAAATCTTGTCTAGTGGTAAGAAATTAAAACGTATAATTAGCAAAATTTTATTTAAAAAACTCACCACTGTAACAAAATGGCATTATGTTAGTTTGAATTTCTTCGTTGTAGACAAATTCACATTTAACCCCTTAACGCACAGATTTTTTGAAAAAAAACCGACCAAAAAAATCAATTTTTTTAATGTAAAAAAACACACTTTAGAACATTGTCTTTTCTTTTGGTGGACAATTTTTTTTTATTCTGAGCTTTTGTTCCATGGAAAAAGGCTTTATTCAGAGATGCCAACTGCTCCGGACACGCCAAAATAATTTTTAAAAAAACAGTAGATAACTACGAAGGTATATTTTGAAAATATTTGACTACTTTTGTTTGTTTTTTAAAAGGTAATCATGACTTCAGTATTAAAATTGGCTAATTATATAAGCTTACGAATTATTTAAAAATAGTGGTGCATTAAAATCCACTAAATTTAATTCATTAAACCAAAAATCACAATTGATAAACTACCACTTTAAAATATATATTTGCTGTCCATAGCAAGTTTGGCAACTCTGTATATTTTATTCTTGAATAAATAAGTGTTACTAGTGGGCTGCCCCCCTGCTCGCTAACGCTCGCCAACCCCCGACAATTGCTAAGCAATCTTCTATGGTTTGCTTCGCTCGCTACTAACTTACGTACATTGCAAATACACAAAATTCTAAGAATTCAAAACAATCATTCAAATCCATAGAACAACTTTTTTTTTAAAAAAAAATACATTTTTTTAGTAAATACCTGTAAGTTGATTGCTTAGTTGACCTGTAATTCGTTAAACCTATTAGAAATGTGCTATAGTATAAAATCTTAAAGCGTAACAGCACGACTGGGACTCATTTTTCAATGAATAACTAATAACAATAATAAAGCAAATAAATTCGTGATATAAATCAAAAATCGTCAAATAAATTCGTAATATATAAATTCGTGAAAAAAA